ATTAGATCATGCGTGCGACCGTCGCTGGATTATTAATTAAAGGGACAGCTCACCCAACCATGAAAAATTGTTTATCACTTAGTCACCCTCAAGTTGTTACAAACCTGTATGAGTTTCTTTGCTCTGCCGAACACAAACAATAGTTTAAAGAATGTTGATAATCAAACAGTTGACGGATACTATGGAAAAATGCTATGAAGTCAAATGTCTGGTTATCAACATTCTTTAAAATATCTTAATAAAGCAATAAGCCCCTTGAAGCCGTGTTTTACACACTGATCTATATAATGACATTGTCATTCTATATAGATCAGTGGTTTTACAGTGAATTTAGAACAGCTAAGGGGTGTTGTTAGGCACGACGGAGCGGAGGAAAACCCCCTTAGCTGTTCTAAATTCACTGTAAAACATGGCGTCAAGGGGCTTATTGCTTTTATAAAACGGTTACTCCATAAAAATATTAATTTTTGATATTTATTTTATTCATAAAATAGCAACACTAGCAACAAAAAAAAAATAACAACGTTATAACACATGTATTCCTCCGCCAATCAATGTAGTTCCAAAGAGGTTGCTAAGCAACACATGCAGCAACAAAGCATCACAAACGGCAGTTGCGCAGTAACTGTAATGCGGTCACGGGGGTGTGTGTGTGTGTGTGTGTGTGTGTGTGTGTGTGTGTAACACTAATGTAATGTGCTCACAGGTGTGTGTGTGTGTGTGTGTGTGTGTGTGTGCGCGCGCGTGTAACACTAATGTAATGCGCTCACAGGTGTGTGTGTGTGTGTGTGTGTGTTGAGTGATTTACAACGGCTTCGAACGCGGCTCAACCAATCAGAATGAAGGACTGGAACTATCCGCTTTATAGGAATAAGGTGGATAAAATATTTTAAAGAATGTTGATAACCAAACAGTTGATACTATGGAAAAATACTATGGGTGGTTACCAACATTCTTTAAAATATCTTATTTTGTGCTAAGCGGAAGAAACACACGTTTTCAGGGCCGTTGCATAAACATGAAGATCAGGCATGACGTCTAGCAGTTATTCAAATGGCATTCAGTCTTTTCAATATCAAATTAAGCCAAGTTTTTATGTAAAAAGTTATGAACAGTCTTATAGAAAAACAAATAGTTGTCTAACTTGTACAACTAGTCTTAGCGGTTTATGCAACCGGCCCCAAGACATTCTTTTATCTTGCTGTATTTATTTAGGTTAAAGTGTCTATGTCAGGTTAAATTTTTTTTTTAGATATATTAAATAAGGGTTAGATGTCTGAGTGAAAATGTAATTATCATTAAAATTATTACTGTAATTACCCTACAGTAAGCTTTATAGCCATTTCTGTCAAGATCATATATTTAAAACACAGCTGAGCTGTGACGTCAGAAGAGGGAGTCGTGCCACAAACGTTCTATTCAAGTATGGAGAGTTTTGAGTCTGAGCAGATCCAAAATCCCCCTCAAAATCCCCCCACAGCCATACACTTTTGAGCCTCCCAGGCGTGAGACAGATGAGGAGGCAAACAGAAATTTAAATAATTCCTATCGAAGAAACATAAATATCTGGTGTGAAGATAACCAGTGGAGAGTTGGGCAGGTGCATAGGCATAACTTAGAGGTGGAACGGTACATGTATACCGAAACGGTACGGGCGTCACGGTTCAGTGCATGAATACACGAGTATTAAAATAAATAAAACTCGCGTGCACATTAATTAATGCGGAACTACTGTTAGATACGCGGGTTATTTAGGGACACATAATCTGTAGCTCCGCCTTAGCTCTGAAGCTCCGTGGCTATAATGGACAGGCTTCGATGTCAAGATTGCAATGCTGGAATATGTTGGTGTTGGTGTGTGTGTGTGAAGCAGCACTAAAGTAGAGAGAGAGACGCGCGAGAGAGAGAGAGACGCGCGAGAGAGAGAGAGAGAGACAGAGAGATGGAGAGAGAGATAGAGAGAGAGAGAGACACGCGGGCGCGATCGAACAGTGGAAACATAAAAACTGGAAGAAATGTGCGCTGCAAATGACCGAAGTCTTGGATACCGAAGCAGCACTGAAGTCAGCGCGTTTGGTCCGAACAAAGTTGACCCAGGCACGGAACACAGACCTGCTTTTTGGGAAAAAGTGGACTCTGTGACCGGTTTTAACTGTGTTTTAGCACCCAGCACTACCGCAGTAATTCACCATTGTGAAAATACGCCTGCATATACCTAACTAACTACCTAACTTAAATAGCTAACTAAATAAATAAATGTCCTAATCACTAATTCTCTCGATCTATCACTCGTACAATTATCAACACAGCTCACAGACTCACTTTCTCAGCGACCTATGGGGAGACGTCTCCCTCTTATGACGTCAAACGATCCGTTTGGGCGGAGGAGCAGTTTTAAGTGAGTCCTGAAAATAACGAACTTTTTCATCTTATATTCTGCCTTTAGGTATCGAAAATCATACAAAACAATACAACAACTTGTCAAACGTGCATTTCCCCTAACTATTTTGTGTTAATCCTAATTACAAATTTAACCTGACATACGCACTTTAAGGTTAAGTTCGACATATAACTTTTTTCAGAATAAGACATGTTTTACACATTTGCAGTGTTGGGGAAAGTTACTTTTAAAGTAAAATATTACATTATTGCATTACTCCCTTAACTAATTGCGTTACTTAGAATGGGAAGTAATGCGACACATTACTTTTACGTTACTTTTTCTCGTCTGACTTTTCATCTAATATTTTGTTTTTGTTATGTTTTGTATATTTATATATATATATATATATATATATATATATATATATATATGCAGGGATGGGCAGTATTTCAGATACATGTATTTAAAATACGTAGGCTATAAATACAAAATACTATTTTGTAAGCCTATATGGACAAAAATCAAATGTAATTTGTATTTAAATACATATAAGATGAGTCAACCTCTTTATCAGGGTATACTGGTTTCATGCATCATCTAGTTCAGACACGCCCCACACACACACACACACGCGCACACACACACACACACCCATGTGAGCTGCAGTAAAACTCAGCATTGGATCAGCAACTTTTCTGGAATAAGGTGAGGACGTCATGATCAGTTCTACTTGTTGATTAAAGTTAAATTTAGGCCTGAATAAATAAAGTTATTCCGATGTGCCTTCAGTTAACATGAAAGAATAAAGAGCACAGACATAGCGTCAGCCAATCAGTCTCGATCGGTTGTTGATGTTTATTAAGCTTGTTAAATTTACAGCATTACTGCGTGTTAGGGCCGGGTGATATGACATATCATAGAGATGATATAAAGTGTGAATCGATGTAACTTTTTCTAAATCGTTTACATAGATTGGCCTATTTGTGAGGTAAGCAAATGTATCCGTGCAGCTTTTATTGGGCAATAGGGATTATAAGAAGATACACCACAAACATCTGCAGCTTGTTTATAAAATAAATCAATACAAAAAATTGCTAAATAGTGTCAAATGAATTCTAATTTAACATTTTACATAAACATTCTAATTTTAATAAACTTATAGAAACAAATAAACTTTACATAAAATAAATATAAAATTACTATACTTAAAAATATGGATGTAACAATATCGTGTCGCAATATATCGCAATACAAAAATGCAACAATATGTATCGTGTATAGTTCACCCAAAACAAAAACTGTGCGAGGAAACAATTCACGTTTTCAGAGTTTTAGTGTCAGTACTACATTAAACTACTATATATAATGTTGAATATAATGTAGAATAATGCAATGGGGGATATTTGTGGGTCCTGATAATGCCAGATGTCTGATGATACCTAAAAGTGGCTTATTATTTTTAATATAGTCAGTGAAAGAGTGCAAGCTTATTCGTCTAAAATAATTCTATTTTCAGCTTCAGAATCATGAATATTGTTATTCTGGGGTCTCTATTGTGTGCTTTGGGTTTCAGCACAGAGTCCAAGCCTATTTATTTACACACACAGTGAAATACCAAATTTAGCATTTTAATCAACAGGGCATTTTTTGTTAATCTTTTATCATATGTCTTGGAGTATCGCAGTAATATGGTATCGTGAGTTCAGTATCGTGATATCGAATCGTGACATGAGCGCATCGTACACCACTACTGAAAAAGCATTGGACTACCCGCAAAAGAAAAAAGTCTCAAAAGAGTTTGAAATTCAGTTTTTGCTGTTGTATCAAAACTGATATTGAGAATTGTGAAACCATGATATGTATTGTTACTGTGAAGTAAAATTAAGATTTTGGGTCATATTCTAGATAGCAGAAAAGCTTCCCACAGTTTATAGCCTACAGTATGAATTTTTTAACAGTGTTCACCACAAGTAATAGACTACATTGTAACCTGGTCAGAAATAAGAATATAAATTTAATTGCCAGCAAGCCTGTGTAGTTTCTTCATTCACTGTGACCTATACCTGCACCGGATGGCCAATTTCACATGTATTTTGTGTATTTTCAAAATACAAAATACTGTATTTTGTATTTAAATACATTTTTCCACACAGTATTTTGTATTTATATTTTAAATACATTTCCATTACATTTTCCATCTCTGTATAGGCTATAGGCTATGTATGTATACACACGCACACACACACACACACACACACACACACACACACACGTTTAATTCAGTTCTATGTCCTAATCCACCCACCTTTTGTCTCCCATTACTTTTAGCTGAAATAAATTACACTTCCAAACAAATTATTAGTAATATGTTTGATAACATCTTATTCCCTAGCATCCTTTATTATATTAAATGAAACTTCCCAAGGAGACTCGCTTATTTTAATGTGTAATCAATTCAATGGCAAATGCCAGTCTGTTGAATATTAACTACGACATCGCTGACGCAGCCGCTTTCCGACCAATGGCGAAACACGCCTCATGAATATTAATCAGCAGCGCCTTCGCCGTAGTAGGAAGCGAACGCCAAATGGCGCAGTGCGCGTGAGCGAGAAACAGGAAGCAGCGCTGAAGCGGGTCCGCACCTTTTCCGGTAATACCAAGCGGAGAAGCAACACGACCGGGACCGAGAGAACGAGGACCGGAGAGAACCGAGCCGACAGAACCGAGCCGGGGCGCGCGACCGGGCGGCTGATATACGAGGTGAAGCGGCGCGCGCTGAGGCGCGTTCGCGGTCGCGTTCAGTACGCGTACGGAAACTCACGTACAAGAATAAAGTTAGTTGTGTTGGACACCCCTCCCTTTTTCTCATCCGCTTTCTCTTGTGTTTCAGGGACAGAAGAGGGGAAAGAGGAAGAGGGCTTGTTTGGACCAGAACCAGAACTGATGATCTGAAGTGTGTGTGAAGGGAATGAGCGCGAGCGAGCGGCGACCCGACAGTCGGTACACAAGAAGGAAGTCAGAAAGAAAAGGCCTATTTTTGTTTTTTCTTCATGCATTTTGAGGTCTGGTCAATGCAAACTCACATTTCCCAACTGTATTAGATCCACGTTTTTTATTTATTCAAGGAAAAGCGTTGAGTCATATGTATTTCTGTGAAGCTGCAGGACCAAAAAAACACACTTTTTGCATCATACATACTATATATGCACAGCCAACAAAATGGGGAAGATGCTTTCCAAGATCTTTGGCAACAAGGAGATGAGAATATTAATGCTTGGACTTGATGCGGCAGGAAAAACGACGATTCTTTACAAACTCAAACTGGGACAGTCGGTCACGACCATCCCGACCGTCGGGTTCAACGTGGAAACCGTGACGTATAAGAACGTGAAGTTTAACGTGTGGGATGTGGGCGGTCAGGATAAGATCCGGCCCCTGTGGCGGCACTATTACACCGGCACACAAGGACTGATCTTCGTAGTGGACTGTGCGGATCGGGACCGGATCGACGAGGCCCGACAGGAGCTTCATCGCATTATTAACGACCGCGAAATGCGCGACGCCATTATCCTGATATTCGCTAACAAGCAAGATCTCCCCGACGCCATGAAGCCGCACGAGATCCAGGAGAAACTCGGCCTGACCCGGATCCGAGATCGCAACTGGTACGTTCAGCCGTCCTGCGCCTCGACGGGCGACGGACTCTACGAAGGGCTCACCTGGCTCACGTCCAATTACAAATCATAATGCGAGTCAAAACTTAGAAGCAATTAACCAATAACTCGTTGAGTTTCCTTTTCTTTTTCATGCTTTCTTTCAGCACTCTGTATAATCCTTCTGTTACGTTTCGAATGTTCGTAAAGTAGTGCCGTGCGACCGATTAATCGCGATTAATCGCATCCAGAATAAACGTTTCATAAATATATATACATGCGAATAAATAAATGTGTATTTATATATACTAAATAATTCTACACGTATATATTATGTGAGCAGAAACTTGTATTTCGGATGCGATTAATCGGTCGCACGGCACTACCGTAAAGTATTACTTAACTCAGAAGCTGTGGGACGGGTTTTTTTTGTTTGTTTTGTTTGTTTTTTGTCTGAAGATCCAGTTGTTCTAGTCCTGAAATGGCAGCTTGTTTGTTTACCTCTGTGCCATCATCACTTATGCCGAATGTATGGAGAATAGCTGCAGTGCAGAGCATTCAAATAAACTCACCAAACCAAGCAGATCCGCTGTGTGTTCCCTGAAGATGCTGAGCGCTTGATTGCACTTCCACACTTTCCCCCTGAGCTGCTGGTGATGTAAAGCCAGGAGGATTATGGGTAATGAAAACAAGTCTTTCTGAACTAAACTAATGCTGAGCGGTGTCAGTTCTGGTTCTGGTGCCGGTTCTCTCTAAACTGCGCCAATCACACCGAGCCTTTTGTCTCATGATAAATTAATGCTTTGTTTTATTATTTTCACTTTTATGTTATGCTGAAGAAATAATAAAATCTGTATATATATATATATATACATATATATATCAAGTATAATGTGATTGTATCTTCTTGACGTGGAAGAACGCGCCAGTGCTTCAAAACGCACAATTTAAGTGTGTTTGTATGGAGATTTTCACAATACGTATTGTTTAAATGTTACACTTTAGGAAGTGTTTCAGAGTCATCACAACATGAATGCACACAAAACATTTAATGGATTAATTTTGTGGTTGAAATTTAAAAAAGTAACGAATCGTTCCCTCTCGCGTCAATTTGACCACTTTAGGAATGCTTCAGTTCACATAGAAAAACCTAAAAATGCTCAAAATTCAAACTAAAACTTTACCAAACAATGACTGTATAATGTGTACATGTGTGTGTGTGAGCGCACACTGAAGAGGAACTGGCTTTAGGACCCAGCGGACAGCTCCTCTCCATATAGAGCTATAAGCCCATCTAGAGTTATGAAATATCATGTGTTATTATTATTTCCCACAAGAGCTCAAAGACTCCCAGTGTAAGATATTTAGAGCTGAGTTAAAAGGGTTATGCATGAAATTGTGAGTTATTTTGAATTTAAGTTGAAAGAATGAGAGGAATGTGCTTAAATTACTATTTATTTTTCA